TACTTGGACCTGTGGTATCATTTGCTTGCCTTGCACTAAAGTTGGAGAGTATTTAAATTTTTAACCTTTTGTTAAGTGTAAAGCTTCGCCGTACGTTGTGTTGCTCTCGTGTCACCGGGGGTCCTGCTCTAGGCCATATGGCATTGGTGGTTGTAAGGAGGGGAGCAGAGACCCCTATTTCTGGGCTGCCATGGGCCCTGCTGGTGCTCATGCCCTGCAGGGCAAGGGCTCGTGCTGGTTGAGCCCTGGGTGTCACAGGTGGCCATCAGTGGCTTCTGCTGCATGGTTTGGGTCATTGTGGGGGCATAACAGATACGAGGCCTTGTACTGTTGGGATGCTCATATCTGGTGTGGTCCCCTCTGGGGAGCTCAGCACAGCCCCTCCTGGGCTTCACAGGTGTGCTGTGGGGTTGAGACAGAGTTCTGCTGCCCTCTGGTCACTGTGCATCGCTGCTTCAGGAGGCCACCATGAATGGGGACCTCATACCAGCACACGGTGCTTGTCCTGGTTTTCATGGGGATAGAGTTAATTTAGCCCAAGGAACAGCCCCTCGAAGGGGGGACACTGTGGGGTGATGTGGGTGAGGGTCACAACAGTCACCAGGGGGAAGCAGGAAAAAGGGGGCAGCCTAGACAGGGTGTGCAAGGTGGGTTTGGGGTCCAGGGCTGGCAGCAGCAGCGACAGCTTTGTGCGCAGCGCGGGGGGGGCCACACACAGCTGCACTGGGATGAGAATAGCAAGTGCGGCTGGTAGCTAGGGAACAGTTGCTATGGGAGCGGGCCGAGGAGGAGTTCTCACACTCAAAAGGGGCATCTTGGGGTAAAATCCAGGAATTTTCTGCAGCCATGGAAGGAAGGAAGACAGGCAGGGGGATGGGGAGTGCCTGGAGATTGCTGTTCCCACCACGCCAGTCGGGATGCTTGTGCCGCCCTCCTGGCAATGCCTGGGCCATGACACCCTGGCATCAAGGTCCCAGGGTCACCAGCATGTTCATGTACCTGTCACAAGTCAGGTGGCTCTGGGGCAGGGCTGGGGGGTGAGAAGAGCCATGGCCAGCCCTAAGCGGGGCAGGGAATGGGCTCTGCCTGTCCCCAGCTCCCCCTGCCCCACGGTGCCTCAGCATCTGGGGGATGTTTCATCCCCATCCCTGTCCTTGCTGGGGGGTTAGCAGCATGCAGGTGTGGGGATGCTGGTGCATGGCCACAGCTGGAGCAGGTGGATCTGGACCCCACAAACACGGGTGAGCTCTGGGTGGGTCCTGAGGGCCTTAGGCAGTGCCCTGTGCTGTAGGGCTGTGGCGGCAGCTCCACAAACCATTTTCAGGGGTGAAGGATGCTCTCAGCTGTTGCCTGGGCAACGGCTCCTCCTCCAGCCCACCATGTGGCTCCGGGAGCGCTCCCCCGCCTGCCTCCCCCCGCCACCGTGGGGAAGGGGACGGGAAGGGGAAGGGGAAAGCAGCTCCCGGCCCCCGGCACTGGCGGGGCCGGAGGCCTGGCTCCCTTCGCCCACCCTTGGCCTGGCCTGACAATGCCCGCAGGGCCTGCCATGCCCCCCACCTCCGTGATGCCCATGCCTCAAGGGAGCACCCCAGCCCCCCCGCATGGCTGCGGCCCCCTGCCCACCCTGGGTGCTGCTGGGGCACCCCCACAACTGTCGAGCCGGCGCTGCCCGGCTGCCACGGCCGTGCTGTGAGGTCGGATCGCAGGAGGCAAATTCCAGCAAGGTGAGTCGGGGCCAGAGCCAAGGGGTACGGGGCCAGAGCCAAGGGGTACGGGGGACACATGGCCACTGTGGCCCTGCTGCGAGCTAAGTGGTGGAGCTTGGCCAGCTGCCGGAGCTGTTATGCCTGGTTGTGGCGGGAGCAGATTGCCAGTGGATTCCCCAGGTCATCCCCTGGCCAGGAGGGAGGAAGTCCTTCCGGCCAGGCCCTGGCAGAACAATGCGCCGTGTGTGCAGCTGCAGTGGGCACCCGGCACCCTGCCCACGGGGAGGAAGCGGCGGCGGGGTCATGGCCTGCATGGGGCACCCACACCCTGTCACCCACCCAGCATCCAGCTCAGCTCTGCCCCATAACCACGCTGCCCTGCTCCTGCCACAGCCCCAGGGTGCAGTGAAGGGACAGTGAGGACTCTTGCCCCCAAGCGTGGTGCAGTCCCAGGGAACCAGAGCAGTCTCCCAGGAGTGCCACGACCACTGGCCTCAGTCACAGCAGAGAAGAGCTGGTGACAACCCCCCAATAGCAAATGGCTGAGGGAGCCCTAGCAACAAGGGACAGTTGCTCAGACCAGACTGGCGAGGGGTTTGCTCTGGGGTACGGCAGCCCCAAGAGAGCAGGGTGACCCCAGAACGGACTGTCATGTCTCCCAGTGCCACTTCTGTCCCTTGCTGTCCTGGGGGCCAGGCTGGCACCACTGCCCCACAGAGCCACTCGTCCCACTGCAGTGCCCGGGAGAGGCTGTAGAGGTGCCTGTTAAGGTCTTGCCAGCGGCTGGGCTACCCTCCCTGCTGATGTCCCTGCGCCGGCCTGGCCGTCACCTCGGGGAGCACTTGGTTATCACCCCCTGAGGAAGATCTGTATGGCCCTGGGGGAGCGGGTGGTTGCAGCCCTGGGCACCCCCGGGCACCCCCAGGCGAGTGCGAGGCCACCGACAGTGGGAGCCCGTGGCACCACCCCACGAGACATAGCAGGGCCATCACCTTTCCGGACCGGGAGCCGCCACCCGGGGATCCCAGTCCCCCATCCCGTGGGGCTACCGCCGGGGGATACCCCGTCCCTCTCGCCATAGGCATCCCACCGCCGTTCCCCGGGGGCAGGGCAGGGGAATCCCGTGTAAGTGCCGGTCTCCCCGCCGGTAGCCCCCGCGCGGCGGCGGGTCCCGGGGCGGGGGGCGCGGGGGGCCCGCGGGTCCCTCCCCGAGCCGAGGGCGGGGCGGAGCGGCGGGGCGGGAGCCCGGGCGGGCGGGGCGGCGCGCGGCGGCGGCGCGGGAGCGCTCACCGGAGACAAAGGCAGCGCCGGGAGGCGGCGGCGGTGCCGCGCACCGGGCGCGCACCGGGCCCCCTCCCCCGCCGCCCTATGGAGCCGCCGCCCGCCGCCTGAGCCACGTGCGCCGCCGCCGCCGGTAACGGGAGCCGCGGAGGGAGCGGGCACGGTGCCTCCGCCTGTTGCGCGGTGCGGGGGCAGCGGGGCCGGGGCGGGGGCGGGCGGGGCCGCCGCCACCGGGGACCGCGGCGGGGGCGCGCGGCGCGTACCGAGGCGCGCATCTCCGGTCTGGCCTCGGCGGGCGCGCGCCCCGGGGGAGGAGGAGGATGGTGATGAGGAAGGGGTGCCGCGCCCGGCACCGAGAGCGGGGAGGTTCCTCGTCGGGGTGTCACCCTCCTGGCGGAGGCACCGGGCAGGGATGCGACGCGGGTAGCGGGGCCCAGGCCGCGGCCGGGGGCAGCGGGGCGGCCCGGGGGTACCGGCGGGGCCCCACTTGGCACCCACTCCGCTCCCCGCCCGGTATGAGTGTCTCCAGCCCGGCCCCGCTCCTCCCCCAGCCCGCAAGTCCCCGGCAGCCCCGCTCCCCCCGCACGCCCCAGCTGCGAACGCCCCCGGTCCGCGGCGCCGCCAGCCAGCCCTGCACCGCTTCCTGGTGTCCCCCCGGCCGTCATCCCGGATCTCGACCCATGGCCCTTCCCGCACGGTGCCCCCCTCCCCGGGGATGCCCAGGCTGCCGGCGCGGAGCCTGTTGCAGCCGCGGCTGGTGAGCCCTGCCTGCACCCAGTGGCCTCAGCCGGGCAGCGGGGACCCCTTCCCCATACACCCACATCACAGCACTGCCTCTGCCCACGCATTTGTCTGCCTGATGGAGCAGCCCCCACTGCCTGCCAGTGGCCAGGGCCCCTGACCCCTTCCTTTTCCATTGCTTCTTCCTTCCCCATTGCTTCTTCCTTCCCCATCACTCCTTCCTTCCGCCGGGCTCGGCCCTCCGGCCCTGCCAGCACCCTCAGCACCTGGTGGCACTGCCGTCCCCCTTGCCGGCAGCATGGCCCTGGCCCGCGGGGTGGTCGAGCACCCCGCACCCCTTTGGCTGTCTCTGAGCAGAGCCACACGAGTGGTCTCCCAGCCCTCGGCTGCCACCGCTCCATGCTCACCCTCCTCCTTGCTGCCGAGCCCGTTTTCTCCCACACCACCACAATGAGAATCCTGATGGGTGCTTACTTGCCTGCCTGCGAGCACCCATGGGTGCTGCTCCCTGCGCACCGAGGGGCACACCTGCCCCTGGTACACACCATTGTCATTCGGTGCTGGGTTGGACATGGCTGAGCTATCACCCTGTCTGAAGGCTGGGACCTGGCAGGGGTGATGGTTCCCATCCTCACCACCCCTTGGCCCTGCATTGCTGTGTTGAGGTGCCACCATCCCCTGAGCCCCCTCGGGTGGCTGCGAGGCCAGCGATGGCCACAGTGCACGTGCTCTTGCAAGCGCCACGTGCCACAGGCAACTGGCAGCTCTGCACATCCCTCATTCTCCCTGGGGCACCCCAGGGCACCCCACTGTGTGGCAGCACAGGGATGAATGAGCTGCCTGGGCTCGGCAGCCAATTTGGGGTGTGCTGGGTGAGCAGGAAAAGGGGATCCCGGTGGGCACCCCATGATCTGAAAGGTCAGGACCAGAGCATCCATGTCCTGCCCCAGAGTTCCCGGCAGTGCTGTGGAGGGGTTCTGGGTGGGGTGTGCAGGTTTGCAGCCATGGAGGCAATGATGGGGTGCATGAGGGGGGCCAGGCACGCTTCCCCTCCGGCTGCGAGCACTGCAGCGCATGTAGAGCGAGTCACCATGGGAACAGGGCGTCCACGTTTCTGTGTCGCTCACGCTCGCGTCTGTCTCGTTGCAGGGCCCCCACCCCGGCGGTCCCCCCCAGCGATGGGCAGCAGGACCCTGCCAGCCCCATCCCCCCACCGCCCGCCCCGCCGGCCCCCCGCCCCGCCGCCCGCCCAGCGCACCCACGCCTGACCCACCCGCTCCAGCCCCCCCCAGCTCTATGGCAAGGATGGACCCCTGACGGCAGGCACCCGCGGGCCAGAGGAGACGGCGCCGGGCACAGCCCGGGGAGATGCCCTCGGCGGCCCTGACAGCATCGGGTCCTCCCTGACCCTGCCGCCGCCCTGAGCATCCCGTCCCCCACCCCGAGGGCAGGGAAAGGCGGGGGCCTCCCCCCGGGTCCGGCAGTCAAGATGGTGATGTCCCAGGGCACCTACACCTTCCTCACCTGCTTTGCGGGCTTCTGGCTCATCTGGGGCCTCATCGTGCTGCTGTGCTGCTTCTGCAGCTACCTGCGGCGGCGGGTGAAGCGGCAGCAGGAGGAGCGGCTGCGGGAGCAGAGCCTGCGCGCGCTGGAGATGGAGCCACTGCACTATGAGGGTTACAGGGGCAGCCCCCCCGGCATCGCCATTCCCCACCGCCTCCGCCTCGACCCCCACCATCATCATCACCCCCACCACATCCCACCCCCCCGACCCTGGAGCTGCCGGCACGGTAAGGAGCAGGGAGGGGCTCTCGCATCCCCGGAGCACGTGCCTCCCCCTGTTTTGGGGGGGATACGACGTGAGAGCCAGAGCGCAGCGCTGACGGCAGCAGGGGTCCGGGGGGGGCTTTGCCTTGCAGAGTCGGACCTGTCAAAGCCGCCGTGCTATGAGGAAGCTCTGTTGATGGCAGAGCCCCCCCCACCATACAGCGAGGTGCTGATGGACACACGGGGGCTCTACCGCAAAATCAACGCCCCTTTCCTGAGCCACGAGCGGCTGGAGAAGCAGGAGCAGCCCCCCAGCTACAAACCACTTTTCCTCGATGCCAGCTATGGTTCGGCACTGCACCTGCCCCGCTCTGCCAGCCCTGGCCCTGCCTGCCCGGACCTCTACCTGCAGCAGGAGTGCTCCCCACGCATGTTTCCCAGCTGGACGGACTCGGAGCTCAGCAGCAGGGACACCTACGAGCCAGGACCCTGGCACCTCCCGGTCTCCATGCCCCTCTTCGGCAGGACTACCGCTGTGTAACGGCAGCTGCGGGGGACCCCCGGACCTTGCCATGCACCTGGGGGGTGGGTGGTTTTGATTGCCCATGTCACCTCGGGGACACCCGCCCCGGCGCGGGCCATCGCCGCCGGCGCGGAAGGGGCTGGTTCCCCGTCTGGCCCCTGCCAGCCCCCCCATGGCCGGGGTCGCTGGGGACCCGGACTCTGCTCTGTTTCTTAAATTTTTTGTTTGTTACAGTTTGAGAATAAAAGTTTGTGGCTCGGGTTTGCCTCCCGGCAGGCTGGCATCATGGGACCCCCACACCTCTCCCAGCCCTCCCTGCCCCCCCCAGCAGGCTGCAGCCCCCGTGGGAGACGCTTTATTTATTAACAGACATGAGCACACTGCCGGTACAGAACTTGTGCTTTCCAAAAAGTTTCCAAGGGGAACAGGGGGAGAGGGGCCAAGCAGGGGCCAAGCAGGAGGGGATGGGGCTCCCAGCAAGGAGAGAGTCGGGAAGGGGTAAAAGCCCCCACACCAGCTCCCTGCTGGGATTTGGGGGGGGACGCTGCTGGCTGCAGCCTCGCCTCGGTTGGGTCACTTTATTGCCATATTCATTTATTATTATTATTATTATTATTTCTTTTCTTTGAACTCGTGCAAAGTACTGGGGGACTCCTGGGGGGGGCACGAAGAGAACGAGGACCCTGTCCCACAGCCAGGCAGGGGATGCGAGCGTGTGTGTCGTCCCCCCCAAAGGGGCGCTGGGGTATCGGGGGGGGGGCTGCTAAGGGGGGGCTGGGGGGCTGACACGGCTCCTACCGACAACTTAAAAAAGAGAGGAGAAGGGGGGGCTGTAAAAGGTGCCCCGGGGCGGGGTTGCAGCGGGGCGGCCCCCACCTGGAGGCCTCATCCTGCGGGGCCCCAGTGGGGTGAGGGGGGGGCCCGGCCCCTGGCTGCAGCCCCCTCGTGCCCCGCGCCGGCCGGGGCAGGCTGTCTGCGCCGGCAGCGGGGCCTGGGCTTACAGGGCCCCCCCAAAAGTCTCCTCCTCCTCGGGCAGGGGGTCTGCATCCCAGCATGTGATGTCGATCTCTGGAGGACAGGGGGGGGGTCAAGATGGCTTGGGGTGCCCCATGGAGGAACAGACCTCACTCCTCACTGTCCTCACTCACCTGGGGGCTTGTTGTAGAAGACGGGCTGGGGGGCTTTGGCCGACAGCTCCTCGGGGGGGGGCACCTCCTCCTCTTGGGACTGGCTGAAGTAGCCTTCGCTGGCCTGGGGGGGTGGGGGGCAGGTGGTCAGGACCCCCCCAGCCACCCCATCACACCCTGACCTCCCACTCCCCAGTGGTGCTCACCTGCTCCCCACGACCTGGCGTCCCGTCCTTGGGGGCCATCTCCCCATTGGTGATGGGGGGACTCTCTCTGCCCGGACTGTCCTCCTGGGGCACGTGCTGGCAGCCAAGCCCCTGGGACTGAAGGTCCCCCTCGCCAGCTGCTTCATCTTCCTCATCCTCCTGCTCCACGTCGCAGAAGGTGGCAGGGGGCTCAGGCAGCTCGTCCAGGCTCAGCAGGGCCCCCTCCTCGGGCAGTGTGGATGGGGGGGCTTCGGGGACAGGGGCAGCAGGCAGGGGCCAAGCAGCTGGGGGGTTTGCCCCATCACTCTGCCACAGGTCGATGAGGCTCTCGGGGTTGGGAGCCTCCCCAGTCTGAGGCTCGGCGGCCATGGGCAGTGGGGAGGGCTCGGTGGGCTCCAGGGTCACCAGGTCCCCCAGGGCATCACCCCCCGCTGTCCAGACCGACCTGGGGCTGCTGGGCTCATCCCCAGGGGGCTCAGTGGCCTTGTCCTCAGGCCCCGGGAAGGGCCAGTGCTGCTCGGGCGTGGCTGGCCCGGGCTCCTGTGCGCTGGGGCTGGGGGACTCTGCAAGGAGGGGACAGCAGTCAGTGGGGACAGGCACCCTCATCCACAGCTGGGTGTCACCCAGGAACAGGGCTGCAGCTGGAGGGGATTGGGGGTCCTATGGACCGGGCACAATGTGGGGATGCTGCAGGGATGGGTGGGAGTGGCTGTACAGGGAGGGGACTGTGGCATGCAGCAGGGGACCAGGAGTGAGTGGACATGGGGAGGGGGTAAGGTGATCCCTTGGGGAGCAGCTGGAAGGCAGAAGGGGCTGTGGAGGAGGTGGGAGAAGGGAAAGCTGGGATGCAAGATGCCAAGGGGCCAAGTGGGGATGCAGCAGGGACACATGGTGCCAGCAGCAGAACTGGCTTGGATGCAGTGGGGTACAGTGGGGCAGAGGGGATGCACAGGGGGATGCAGCAGCCCTGGCAAGGATGGTACAGTGGGACGGTGCAGATAGGGCAGCATCGCACTGGGATGT